TACAATGATAAAGAGGTTTTAAAAATGACCAGTCTATTGGTGAAGTTTAAGTCCCTAGATTTGTATATTTTACATGGTATTGATAAAGCAGATTTGGTGATGTTGTTACCCTCCATCATAACCACAGAGATCTCTTCACAGCCAGAAAGTACACTCCAAAATGCTCCATTTTTTATGGTAATGGTGAGGGAGAGCAAGGTTATGGACTGAATGTTGAAAATGTAGTTGAAACTGATGATGATGATGAAGAGCATGATTCTGAAGAGGGTGTTGAAGATTTTGAACAAGAACAAGAAGAACCAAGTAATTACTTCTTTGAGGGTGATGATGATTACGTAACCGGTGATGAAGCTGAAATGAGCGATGATGAATGTAGAACAACCAAGGAAAGGGTTAAGGACTGCAATACTAAATTGTTTGAACTGGCAAAGCAACTTCAAAAAGAGGCAGCTATAGGTAAGCTTGGTGGTCAAATTAAACAACCTAATTGAGCGATGGAGAGGATGCATGTTTTAGTGACTATGAGGGTAGTGAGGAGGAAATCAACACCCCCCAGATACTTCAGAAGAAGACTTAGCTGAAAATAGCAAGAAAAAAAAAAGAATTTGTGATCTAGTGCCTATGAATACCGATTTCTCTATGTTTCAATGGAAGGCTGGACAGAGGTTTGCCAATCGGGAGGATTTTAAGAAGGCTGTAGCTAAGTTTGCCATCTTGCAAGGTAGAAATCTCAGTTTTGTTGTGAGCAACAAAAAAAGACAACAAAGGTTAGGGGTTAAGTGTGTACCAGGCTGCCCATTTAGGTTGTATTCATCTTGGGATTCTAGGAGAGCAACATTTGTAGTGAAGACAGTTGAAAACAAGCATAAGTGTCATCGAAATATGAAAAAGAACAAACAACTGAAATCAACATGGGTTGCGCAACAGTTTGTTGATGTGTTCAAGGCAAGACCACACTGGCCAGCTAAGGAAATCATTGAGACAGTAAAGAGGGCTTACAAGACAGTAATCAAAAGGAATTTTGCATATAAAGTAAAATATTATGCACATAAGTTACTTCATGGATCGATGGAGGAGCACTATAACAAAGTTGGAAGATATTTGGAGGCTTTCAAGATGTCAAGTCCTGGAACTGAATTGCAGCTGATTACAGACCTAAATAAGAATAATTCACCCCCAATATTTCAAAGGTTGTTCATCTGCTTCGAAGGTCTTCAAACAGGATGGAAGGAAGGGTGTAGGAAGGTGATATGTGTTGATGCTTGTTTTTTAAAAACATTTCTTGGTGGACAATTACTGTGTGCTGTGGGTAGAGATGGTAATGAACAAATGTATCCCATAGCATGGGCGGTTGTTGAAGGATAGAACAATTTGTCATGGGAGTGGTTTTTCGTCCAACTTCAAAGATGCCTTGCCTTAGGGGATGGTGATGACATAGCCATAATTTCTGATGAGCACCAGGTCAGAAATCATTATTATTTTATGTTTAGCAGTACATTGTATTTGTTTAATGTGTTGTTTTTGTTTTCCAGGCTATTCTAAATGCTGTTTCAAGTGTTCTTCCTCTAGCTGAACATAGACACTGTGCGAGGCACATATTTGCACTATGGCACAAGTCTTTCAAAGGAGATGAAATGAAGCTTTTGTTTTGGAAGATTGCCAAAGCTTACAATATGGCAGATTACAATGACGCCTTCGAAGAATTGGAAAAGGTGAATCTTGAGGCTGCAACTGCTTTCAAAACCTACAACCCGAAGCTCTTTTGTAGGGCATTTATGAAGACAAGTATAAGAACAGATGCAATAACCAACAACATGGCCGAGACCTTCAATGGCTACATTATAAATGCTAGAACAAAGCATCTAATATATATGCTAGAAGACATACGGACTGCATTGATGCAGAGATTGGTGCAAAAAAAACAAGCAATGGAGACAGAGGACTCAAAAATCTGCCCAAGAATCCAAACCAAACTTGAATTGGAGAAGGGTAAAGCTGCATATTGTGATGTTCTTCCTTCCAGCTTGCATACATTTCAAGTAAATTTCTACCTAGATAGTCTCACTGTGGACTTGGAAGCAAGAAGTTGTACATGTAGGAAATGAGATATGACTGGCATACCATGTTGTCACGCAATAGCTTGCATATCCTTTCTTCATAAAGAAGCAGAAGACTTTGTTGAAGACTACTATAAGAGGGAAACTTATTTGAAGGCATATGCAGGTTGTATTCCTCCATGTGAAGGTGAGAGGCATTGGCCTAGGTTAGAGTGTAAGTTGTATCCTCCTCCAATAAAAATAGGTCCTGGAAGACCTAGAAGGAATAGGAGAAAAGACCCTTTTGAAAACCCCAAAACAAATGGAAAACTTACTAGACATGGTATTGAGATGACGTGTAGTGTGTGCCAAATCAAGGGACATAACAAAAGAAGATGCCCTAATAGGGACAAAGCCGTACTTATGGAACCTCAACCCAAGAGATCAAGGGGAAGACCAAAAACAAATTCTCATGCTATGGACTCTACATCAATAGCTGCACCGGTAAACAATCAATCAATCACAGCAGAGCCCAATAGATTGGGTAAAGGAGGGAGAGTTATTAGAGGAGGAAGGGGATCTAGGGGAGGAAGATGTTCAACGGGAAATAGGGCATCTCAAGGACGAGGAAGGGGCAGTAGGGGACACACTAATTAGCATAAATGCATAATGTATTGTTGATGTCAGCTATTAAACAGTTTATCGGTTCTTATTAAACTTTTGGTTTGTTGACCATAGTGTTGATGTTATTTTACCTTTTTGATGATTCTGTCATATTATGGTCAAATGGATTCATGATTATTTGTTGTGATTATGTCCAATGGATACACTTTTGTTATGGTTATGTTGTTCATTTTAATGTGGTGTTTTATATTTGTGTATGTTTGAAGATTGAATGTTCATATTTCCATTTGAGTTATGTCACTAGGTCATTGGGTCACCTGAGGACCTTGTCCGCTTATCCGCAGTGATTCTTGGCGGTGTTTTTTCTTGCAGAGGACCTTGTTCAAGCCTCATGAGTTCAATTTAATATCCGTTTTTGTGCAGGACATACACTCACATATGATGCATTTTTCCTACTAAATAGGGATACATCCATGAAATGGTTCTGCAAAATATGGATGTTTTTTCTTTTATTTTAACAGGTTTGGTACACTCAATATCTGCATTTTCAGTATAATAGGGATACATCCTTACATTTCTTCTGTAAAGTATGGATGTATTTTTACATTTTCTCATAGTTAGGTACACTGAATTTCTTTAGTTTCTAACTGAATCTCAGAAATGTCCTCAACTGTCTCTACCATCACACCTTCTGCCTCAGATGATACTACACTCAAACACCAGTCCGAAAATCAGTAAAAATGGTTCTGTTGAGGCTCAAGTTTATTTTGGTTCCTTTGTTTTGATGAGGCTCAAGTTGAAAAGAAGTTTAAATGTGTATCAGTCTGCACTCTTCTTCTTTAAATTGGAGTGTAAAATTTGAATAAGTTCAAATGTGAAGTGCAAATCACCTTCTGCACTTCCTTTTTCAAAAAAATCACCTTCTGCACTTTCTTTTTCAAAAAAAATCAGCTTCTGCACTTTTTTTTTAAAAAAATCAGCTTCTGCACTTTTTTTACAAACCATATTCTGCCCTTTTATAAAAATCACATGTATACAATCTGCACTTGTGATGCTACACTTTAAAACCTACAGTTTTATCAAACTCTACGTTTACAAACATGCATTCCAAAAGCTGCACCTTTAAGCTATTTAATCTGTCAAACAAAAAAACTGCAATTTTAAAGCACTATAATTCTGCACTTGATAGTAGCCCACACCAATTTATATTCCATTGTAGTCACATACATATGATTCAATGCTCAACTCCAAATTACATCACACACTCCAATTATAAAGGAGACATGAAACAATTAAAAAGGAGCCATGAAACAATTAGAGCCGTTTAATACTTCTTCTCATTCTTCGAAGACTTCGAATTCGCGATGCGCATTTGGAAAATCTCATTCTTCATATGCTCGACTTGTTCTTCCAGTTTTTTCTTTTTTAGCTACAACTTCTTTATTTTTTCCTCCATTATCTTCAACTGCAATTGTACATCAGATGCATTGCAATTCTTCTTAACCAGGTTGATGTCTTCACTTTCAGTAGATAAACCTAACTCAAATGCATTTTCCCACCTGAAAAAATCACAATTTGCATCCTAACCAACAAAAAATAATTAATTATGCATATCCTTAACAAAATATAAAAATTACAAACACAATCAATCATAACCCTAACTTTTATATTGAAAGTAGATGTAGTAATTAGTAAACTTACGGCCCATTTTTAACCACATGGACAACTGAATTTATGTTATGGTGGCACTGAACTCTTGAATTCGACTTACCGGTAGATTTCATCGAACAAGAACCACAAGCATGTGAATTTTTTTCTTTCCCTTAAAATGGTTAGATGCAGACTGAATGGAAAGGGGAAAAGGCAAGGAAGAAGCGAACAGTGGAAGATGAGTGTACCGTTTACTAACGAAGAAGATGAGAGAAGAACAGTAAGCTTTTAAGATGAAGAAAAATTAACGAAGAAGAGCTTTCATGTGCAGTAGTTAATAAAATAAAGATAAGTGTACCCGTTAATAACCTGCGACAATAGGTAAACATCGGGCTGGGATCAAATAAAGCAGATGACATGAAAAGGTGGGATTTATTTCAGATTATTAATAAGTGGGACCATTTTGAGAAGAATAATAAAAAGTGGGATTATTAGAATAAAATTTTCCAAAAAAAAAAGTACCTATTTTAGACGTGTTCAGCCCCTCCTAAAGCAAATTTCTCGCTCCCATAATTATCAAATGCGTTGTATAGATTGAGGGCCGCCTTCAACCTGCTCGTCTTCATTCCGAAGTTTGCCCGCTCGCTGGCCCTAACTTCTCCATCTCTACTGCCCTTAACCTGCAAATTTGAATCGCGTCTACTACAATAACGCTGTATGTTTATCACCTTGCATTTCATGTTTTTTTAATACGTACTATATACCGTCAATTCAATCGCTGCGATCTCAATGGCTGCCATCAGTTTTGTTTCCAAAGAAATCACATCTCCAATTTTTTTGGTGAAGAATAGCATTGGATTCCTGGTTTCGTATATCTGGTTGTTGATATTTGTAGTTATCTTCTCTCTGCCCACCACTGACTTTTGCAATTTATGTAGTAAACGTTAATTCAACCATAATTTTGGAATTATGTTTTTGATAATATGTAATTCACCTAATTAGTTCTTTTTGTTTGGCTTGTTTACTTAAGGTTTAAGCTATGGAGGGGCGAGACCGAATCAGTGAACTTCCTGCAGATTTAATTGACAAGATTATGGGAAAATTGTGGATTGGAGTAGCTGCTAGGATGGCCGTCTTAAACACTGTTTGGAGAGATGCTTGGTACAATCTTACTGAGCTTGATTTCGATGATTCCTTCCATCATAACATTTACGCAGATTTTGATGATGACCCAGCCACTTGGCATAATACAATCAACGATTACCTCAAGAAGCACAATGGAAATATTAAAAAATTTGTGGTTTATTTCGGTCTGCAAGTATATATAGGTGAATTTGATAAGTTGTTCCTCTCTGTCACAAAGAAAGATGTTCAAGAACTCGACCTTCAGATATATAGTGATGATGGTAGGAATTACCGGCTCCCGCCCTGCATCCTTAAATGCCCTACACTGAAGACATTTCGTGCTTGTGGTGTTAAAATAGACCAGATAACACCCCGTTGCATGTTTCCGAATGTCAGTTTTATTAGCTTTGATAGTGTTCATTTTGATGCACGTAGTCTTCAACTTCATGCTGTTGATCTTCCAAAGCTCCAAAGACTGATATTAAGAAGATGCAAAAACATCTATCATTTTAACATTACTGCTCCGAAACTTGGTTTTTTATCAATCGAAGAATGTTACATTGGCAGTGATGATGAATGCCACAGGGATAATGATGATTACTACTCTGATGATGATGATGATGATGATGTGGACTTCAACTCTGATGATGATGACCACCGCTATGCAGGTGATAATGATGATGAAAGTGACTATGATGACGATAGCAATATGTTTCACTACAACCCTGCCAAAGGAAAAGAAAAAATAGGTGGTGATTTTCTCCCTGCGAACTTGGATTTGGGTTCTGTTTGCAGGCTTCATTTGTGTTGCAATGCTATTGGGGTATGAGTTCTAACTTCTAAGCCAATTCAATCCTTAAATGTTTTTCAGCCGATGATCCAATTTTTTTGTATTGCTTTTGCAAGGGTGTTGTTGATGATTTTGGTAGAAAGGGACTTCAAATGCCAGCGTTAGACGTGAAATACCTAAACCTTTCAGGTGTCTACTATCTGGGTTTTGATAATAACTCCAAGTTTGTTAATTTGCTGAGAAGTTGTCCAAAATTATGCAAACTTGAAATATGTTTTAAGGTAATTCTTGCTCTCACCAATGAATTGCTTAGTGATGGTTATAACTTATACCTATGAACCGATCACATGTTCAATTTTGGTACTTACTGTGTGTAAATGCCTGAGTTGATCTTATTCATTGTTTTTGTGTAGCTCCATGGATTAGACTCGCCTACTTGTAGTGAGAGTGTTTCTAATCTGTTGGAAGGACTTCACAAGCTACATCACAGACACAACGACCTCCAAACTTTGAATTTTAACTTGTACTCAGCATCCAAATCCGAAGTGCAATTTATAACAGGACTAATAGGCTGCTTCCCGACATGCAAGAAGGTGTTTATTTTTTGTCAGATAAGGTTCCCGTCCAAGGAGAAGGCAAAAGTAAGAAAAGAGATTTTGAGCTCCAGTCGTGCCTTATCAACAGCAAAAGTTTATTTGAAGTAAGAAGCCTTTTGGTTTTTATGCAACTCCTAAACCCTCCTGATATGTAATGGAAGGGAAGCTGATTTCTTCTGCTCTTAAACAGCAATGGTTTCACTATATATCATTGGAAATGGTAGTTGCATTTGTAGCTGTTTTGTTAGAACGAAAGTGAGTTTAGTAATGTGATAAGACCCAAGTGCACAGACTGGTAAGCTTTTATTTTGCTGTTCGTAATTGGGGAGAAAACAAATATGCTCCCAAGTACCCTTCGCTTTATATTAGTTTTCCCATATTCCATTTCAGCTGCTTCAGATTACTTGTTTAACTTGTCTTTTGGAAATGGTCACGTCATAAAAGCCTCTACAGAGTAATGTTCATATATGATGTTTTTATTTGGTCTAGCAGATGTCTGGACTTTGTGTATTTTATATCTACGAAAATCTGGTCTGGTCTGTTCAAGTCCGTTCTTTTCAAGTCTGGTCTGGTCTTTTCAAGCCTGGTCTGGTCTGTGACGAGAAATACTCTTAAGAAAAAACATTCATAAGGTAATGCTACATAGTATTTGCACATATGACTATATGAGTGGTACATGTGACGTGCACTATACTAAACTACTTACAGAAAAACCACTAAAAATAGTACGTACAGGTATATTCAAAGAATAAATGAAGTATAATAAATTATTGAAATGTAGAAAATGTTTTTCTATTTTTTGTAAATGCCGTTATTCCATGTAACAAACTCCACTAACATTTGTGAAAATGTCGTTCCGTATTTGTGCACGTACGATGTAGCAAATATTGTTCTTAAAATTTGCAACTTTTTCTATGTAGACTTTAACTTTAATAATGTAGAAACATTTGCATTAAGAGACTACATTTTAGTACTACGTATATGAAATAAATGATAAAATTAAAAATGTGATTTTTTCCGTTGTCTTCTAACTTTTTTGGGCTAACCGTTGTCTTCTATTTAGGATGTTTTTACTTGGACTGTAATTTGCTGGTCTGGTCTGGTCTGAACTGGTCTGGTCTGGTAAGGTCTGGTTTCTTTGTATTTTTATAACTATCCAAGTCTGGTCTGAACTGGTCTGGTCTGGACTGGTCTGGGACAAATTACAGTCCAAGTAAAAACATCCTTAGAAAAGATGAGTTTTTTCTCGGGAAGGAGTACTTTTCAAACTTATTTTCCAAATTAAAACACTTTTAAACTTATTTTCCAAAATAGAGTATTTTTTCCCATGTGATCTCATTTTTAACGTGGGTAGCCATGTCAGCTTATCCATGTCACCTACCAATTCCATGTCAATAAAATAATGATCTTTAAAAAGTGTTTCTAAAATATTCAAAAAATTACACGTGGGAATCGAACCCACGTCCGGCGAGAGAGATGCAAGTTCCTCATCACGCACAAACCAAGTCATTTGTTCCTCGTCTTTTGTTATCTATAAATAATACATTTCAAAAATACAATTTTGGAAAGTTTTGTTTGATGTCATCTTCTAAGCAAACCTTTAATCTTCTAAATTAGAAATTAGAATTATTATTATGTTAGGATTAGGTTAGGATATACGAAGTATTCTAGATTAAAAATTAGAATGGTCTTTACGTTAAGGATTAAACACAACTGACGAATCTCCAACAAAAAAAAATCTCTCTGTTCTTCAAATTGATACTCGTATATCTTTTTCATTTGTAATTTGATTTTTATAAAATATATATTCAAATTTATGATTTTTTATTATCTTTCATATGACATCAATATTACACATGAAAAAATAAAAAAATGAATATACCATAGATGGAGGTTTTTAGGCTCAATTTTTTTAAAAAATAGATCCAAAATTTAAGATTAAAGTCTCATGATTGTATAGTTTAATTTCATACTTCATTAAGGGATAGTTTATTTATTGACTGAAAGTGTCAATAAAGACGTATTAAGTTCTAAAACATTAATTTAAAAAAAATTGTATCAACAAAACAACTTAATTAAAGTTTCCTTATGACATCATTATTGCATATATAAAAATAAAAATAAATCTAAATATATGGTTGATGGAGGCATTTTATTTATTGTTTGGAAGTGTAAATAGAATTTATTTTATAGAAGTGTCCATAGAAAACGCTTGTGATCCACTTAATTTTAGAATTAGGATCCACTTAAGAAACATTTTGAGCCTAAAAACCTCTATCAACCATATAATTAGATTTATTTTTATTTTTATACATACAAAAGATAATAATAATTTGTGAATTTGATACAACAAAAACATTAGCCTGCAAGATGACAATTAGGACTTTGGGCGGCGACATAAGCGGTTAGTTTATTTTTCATCAAAATTATTGAGGGTATTATAATTATGATCTTATTAGGGAAAATAAGTGTTATTGAATAAAATAGATTAACCATTTCATATTATTAAAAAACTCATATCACCAACATGTAAGGCAAAAGGAACAACTTCTTAAGGAGTGTTTGGGTTTGCTTAAAAAAAGTTGTTTTCAGCTTTTGGCTTAAAAAAAGTTGAAAAGAGTGTTTTCAAATGACAGCTTCTGTTTAAATTAATCACTTAAAAGCTAAAAGCTGGAAGCAGGTAGAAGGGTGTTTTAAACTGCTTCTCACTTTTTCTATTACACAAAAAGTACTTATTTTACCAAACACTACCAACTTTTACTTTTCCAGAATCACTTTTTTCTCAAACACTACCAACTTTTACTATTAATCACTTTTTCCAAAATCATTTTAAAAAATCACTTTTTTAAAGTTGAAGCAATTGCGAACACTCCCTTAGTGGACAACTTTTACCTTTATCACATACCTATTTATAAAATGCTCATTAAGAATGTGAGCCACACAAATAATCAAAAAGGTGAAGTTGGAAGAATTTTCTGGGACGTCCCAAAAAGGAAAGTTGGAAGAATTTTCTGGGGCGGAGGAGTACAATGGAAATATGAGAAATGCTAGAGGTACACACTTTGTGTACACATTTTGTGTACACTCGTCTGTCTCTTAAGAAAATTTTGTCTGTCACAGACAATTCATATATGAGTTGTCTGTGACAGACAAAATTTTCTTAAGAGACAGACGAGTGTACACAAAGTGTGTACACAAAGTGTGTACCTCAAACATTTTTGATGGAAATATAAAAACCCAAGAAGAGGTAATGGGTGTAGTCGTTGAAGACACTTTTATTAGTCTGAAACCTTTTCTTCTTTCAGGCTATCCGAATAGCCTCTCTACTATTACGTGTCAAACACCACTACTTTACTTGATGCTCAATAAATGTTGTGTACAGTTCTCCACGTAGCCAGTCAATCAGTCTGTAGAGCTTTGGTCCATCTTTTTAGCAGCAATGGAAAACAATTTTTGTACCGTATGTGACAATGACGTTTTTGGGAGGGAGTTTGGCCATTGTTTCCACCGTGGTTTGTATATAGAGAGATTTCACCATTTGGGTTTGGATTAGGGGTGGACCGGTTCCGGTTCGGGCCTGGGCCCGATCGGGCCTCGGTTCAGAAAAATGAGGCCCGAGCCCGAACCGGTGGTGGGCGGTTCCGGGCCAGACCGGGCCGGGCCACCCGGATTTTTAATTTCTTCTTCTTCTTCTTCTTTTATTTAACCCCCTACCCCTCCCCCTCCACCCCAAACCACCTCAAATGGCCTAAAATACATAATCCAACCCAAAACTTAAAAAAATTTCAAAAAAAAAAAAATTAAATTCCGGCCCGAACCAGGCCGGTTCACTAAACTGGAGGCCTGGGCCCGGACCGCTATATCACCGGGCCGGGTGGCCTGAACCCGGTTCACCGGGCCGGTCCGGGCCCGCACAGTAGTGGGCCGGTCGGCCCGGCCCGAGTCCATCCCTAGTCTGGATCGGATCTTTAATAGTTTAACCAATTCATTTCCTTGACTATATCACTGAAAATTAAAGAGAAAAACCAAGTTATTGTTCTTACAACAAAATATTAATCAAAATCTCTGTTTTATACTCTCCGGGTTTTTTTAACTCCAGGGGGTCAGGGGGAAGGGGTTGGGGGGAGCCTGGAGTAATCGGGCTTAAATTAAACAATGTTTCCCTGTCGATTCGACCTGATATTTTACCGGAATTTATTACTATATCGGCACTTGTACACTTGCAAGTTTAGCTCGGTCAACCGCCTCATTATCCAACGGGTAATTTTTACTCAAACCATAACCACCCCAACGGGTAACGATTATAAACTCGGGTAGCCGCTTTATTAAACGAGTCATTGATACTTTTAATACTCCTTACGTCCCTTAAAACTTAGCCAACTTTCCTTTTTTGGATGTCCCACTAACTTTGTCACTTTTCCTTTTAAGTAAAGAATTTATGGTTCCAGTTAATTCTCTCTCATCTGCACAAATCTCTACCACACAGTTTTTACTTTATTAATCCCCGTGCCGATTAAACTTGGCAAAGTTTTAAGGGACGGAGGTAGTATAAAAATTGTTATTTTAAAAGGCAAAAAATGACATCGCCTATACGACTCTAGAGAGTGAGATGTCACTTAAAAGTTTCGTGCATCTACAAGACAAGAAACAAGACAAGTATGCAACTTAAATTAATTTGAATCTAAAAATACTTAAATTGAAAAATAATTCATCAAGAAAAAATAAAATAATAACCAAACGAGACTATTAGAATTTATGAAAAAAGATAGTAATAATCCTAACTATTGGCGGTCCGCTCATAATAATCCCAACTATTGATTATTTCAGAATAATCCCAACTTTATAGACCCCCCGCCAATAACGGTCCGACGTGACCGGCTATAAATAAATTCCAATATTTTCTAAAGTGGATGAGAAGAGATATAGCATATAATCCCTATAAATAATCTCAACATTTCATTTTTAGTTTAATTTCTATTTAAAATTCATCTTTTATAACATGTAATATTTGGTGATGGACCATTATTGGCAGACGGTCCATATAGTTGGAATTATACAAAAATAACCAATATTTGGGATTATTATAAGCTGACCGACAATAGTTCAGATTATTATTTTCAAATTTTCCTAGAATTTATCATGAACTTTCAATCATACATTATAGTTAGTACATCCATATATACACAATGAAAAGAGAAAAATCTCATCTTTTATTAATTGTGAAACAAATAATATAAATAGTAATAAAATTATAACTACAAATAAACGGGTGGGTACGGGGCACGCAATAGGGCGGACATATATAAAACCGTAATTGCTTCGTTATCCGTAAAAATAAAAAGGTATTCCCCACTCCATGGCTGCGTTTAACGGATTGAGGTCTACCCGCTGCAAAATGCAGCGGTTTGCAGTTCAAACGATTCGATTCGGATATCCATTGATTTTCTCCATTTTGTTACTCCTTCCGTCCCAAAATGATGGTCCTGTATTTTCTTTTTGAGATGTCCCAAAATGATGGTCTTGTTTCCCTTTTTGGTAAAGAACTAAAAGTGGATTACCATTTATATCCCTCCTTTTTAATGAACAGTAAAAATAAAAGGATGAACAATACAATAAAGTATGGTTCTTTAGGATGTTTTTACTTGGACTGTAATTTGCTGGTCTAGTCTGATCTAGTCCGGTCTGAACCGGTCTGGTCTTAACCGGTCTGGTTTGGTTTCTTTGTATTTTTATAACTACCCAAGTCTGATCTGGGACAAATTACAGTCCAAGTAAGATCATCCTTAGTCTTTCTACAACACTTTCTCTTAATCTTTGTGCGGTTGTGCCCAAAAGAAACAACCCATCAAAATTGCCATTTTGATTGTGTAGCACAACACTCCGTACTTCTTTTCCTTCTCCCTCCAGAATACCATCTCGAGCTCTCCAAATAATTCGAAATAATCGCTACCTGCTCCCAATTACAGTATACGTAGTAAATTTTTGTTTGTTTAGGATTCATCCCTGAGAAATTATTCATTAAAAACAATACCATATTATTGCCGTTTCCCCGTCTTTTTTTTGTTTGCTTCCTGCTATGATTTAAGTCTCAGCAAAGTATGATGTCCAAGGGCGGCAGAGTCTGATGCTTTAATACAGAGTATCAGCTAATAGAAGAGTTGATGTGGCAGGGAGTATTAGTGGGGTCCTTTGTTCTTTACACATCCCCACCCACTACTTAACTACATCATGCAATTCATGTGCAAAAACTTTGTGAGCAAGCAACTGCGGGCTGCGGCATGAGATACGCTCACAATCATCTTTGAACCATCTTTTTGCTCGGGAATAATTTCTTTACACAATAGCCGCCACTTCAAGTGGCAGCTTTTGTATTGCACCTTAACCGTGGTTAACTGCAACAGTATTTTAGAAATTATTTTTAACCAGGCAGTATTTTGGAAATTATTTATTTAATTAGTATTGTTCCGGGAAAAACTCTAATTATTATTAATCAAATCGTGGCTCAAGGCCTGCAAAATAGAGGGCTAAACATCCAAACTTGAATCTCTTATGAATGAAGGAATAACATAAAACTAACAATAAGTTCTTGCTGTCACATTTTAACGGAGGTATACCTGTCTATCTCTTATTATTCTCAACTATAACAAGCTAACAAAATTTGAATGAAATGGCCTCGCAGATTACAGAAAAGCAGAAACATACATTATACAACGAATTTGACAGTGGTCTTTGAAGCGTGTCGACAAGAGCCATATTTCCACAAAATACGTGAATACCAAAAAGTCAAGCCTCTTCCAACTTTAAGCGAGGAACGATATTCATCGATTGAAGCTCCTGTAAACATGACATCACCAACAACATTCAAGGGAAAACGGTTTTCCACTGAATTTCCTTATCTCACGGCACGGGTGATAAAATTAATACTGAACTTCATCCCTTTTTAGTTAGTCATCTTTGAATTTTCTAGTCTACGATAATAAATTGTGATCAATCATTTTAACTAATACGTACTCACTACTCATAGTATTTTTTTGAAAAACTTATAAATTTTATACTTTCATATTACTATTTTTAATATAGAACATTTTATATTGGTTCCCTAGCGGCACATTGGTGCTTTTTCAAAGAAGAAGATCACACATCAGATCTCAATTTTGCTTTAGGCAAAGACACAGCTCTCTCGCTCTAAGCTTAAGGTTTCGTATTTCCGTTGTCAAACTTATTAAAAGCGACAAAAAGCGAAAAAAAGCGAGAAGCGTGGCGAGCGATGGTTTATCGCTAAGCTTTCCAAAGGCGCTGCCCTATGAGAAAGCCTCACTTTCTATGGCTTTTCCATGAAGCGACGCAGCTCTAAAGCGATTGCTTTTCATGGCTTCTCACAAAAGGCGACGGTCAACAAGGGCGAGAAGTTTTTTTTTTAATTTTACTTTACCTAGGGTTAAGATAGCAAATCGGTCCCCCATTAGTTTGAAGTCTCTTCCATTCCCATTCGTTCGAAGACTTCTCCAGGTCCTCTACTCTTCTCCAGAGCTGCGACAAACTGAAAAGGACTTCTCCAGAGGCCAGAGTTGCGCTAGAAGACTTCTCCAGAGCTGCGCCAGAGGATTTCTCCAGAACTTCAACAACCAGAAGAGCTAGTATCCTGTATCCCTTCTCCATCGAATCTTGCTGAGGTAGTCTTCGTTTAGTTTTTATTCAATCTTTGTTTATATATGCTGAGGTAGTCTTCGTTTAGTTTTTATTCAATCTTTGTTTATATATGCTGAGGTAGTCTTCGTTTAGTTTTTATTCAATCTTTGTTTATATATGCTGAGGTAGTCTTCGCTTTTACTACTGAGGTTTTTGTATGGTAATCCAAATAGCTATACCTCCTATAAGAAGGACGATGATATTTGTTTACTCTTTCACTTTTAATTTTGTCTTTAAGCACTCCTACAGTTTATACTCTTTGAATTTTGTGGTTGATTTGTTTTAGTTTTGTGTTGTTTAATGTTCTATACTCTGTCTTTTTAGATTCTTCACAGTTGTACTTGTACACTCTTCTTCACTTTAAATTTTGTGGTTGATTTGTATTAATTTTGTGTTTTTCAGTGTGTGTTTTAATGAGCTTAAGATAGTACGTAGTATATTACTAATACTTGGTAAAAAGGGTAGACAATATGTTGTAAACTGTAAATGTATATTATATTTCCTTTAATTTTTAAATGACTTTTATGACTACTTATGCATTTTTTACATAAGTATACATTATATATTATATTTTCTTTAATTTTTTTAAGCATCGCTTTTTGTGAGAAAGCTACGCTTCGCTTAGTGCTTTCGCTTTGAAGCAAAGCCCAGGGTCATCGCTTTTGGACGCTTTTCGCTTTAAAAAAGTTTGTTCGTTGTGCCATGTGCAACCAGTTTTGGGCAGATTTTCTGGCACCTCTTTAAGGGGCAGCAGTGAAGTTCCGGCTCCAGGGTTTGGACAAAGCGTGCGAGGCATGTTCGTTGGGGATTTGGGATGCGTCAGAGTGCAAGCCAGAGCATACAAAAACGATGAATGTTGCTGAAAATTATGGACAATTATGGAGGCAGTATGGGCTATGAGCAGACGGGGGGGATCAGTGAAGACATATCGACGGTTCGCCCCCTCCTGAACCGCCTCCTGGGTCTCTTGCGCAAGTCGTTCCGTTAAAGTACTCTGGTTTAACTTTTGGCTTTTCCTTTAATTCATTTGGATTATGTTTTTATCGGATTGTGTTTATCGGGGTGACTCTTGTTTGATTTTTATTGTTGTCAAGTGGCAAGTACAAAATAGCATAAGTGATGAGAATGCATCAACGATCATAATTGACTTACAGTTGTCTAAATGGAAATTAGTGAATCCTATTGCTCCTTAATGGGTGATAGTTTTGTAGTCTGGTCACAGGGCGTATGATCGAGTAATGTATTCTGGTCTTTCTTGTTTGGTTGGATTGTATGATTTTAATATAAGCCATTTTCTCCCCAAAAAATTATTTGAAGGAGTGCGAAATTGATACCCCAAACTTTATATAAAATGTTATTTTTGCATCACTGTTGTATGTCTTACAAATATAAATTTATTGGAATACGTACATAATTTAAAATTTAAAATACTCCAAACTTTGTTAGGGTGAAGTAAACAATTTAAAATTGAGAAAAGCGTCAAATAAGCCCTCCTACTACTACGAAAATGTCAATTAAGGACACAAACCCAAACAACACCCAATTAGACCCACAAACACGCAAAAAAAATCAAATTGGCTTTTTAGCCTGTAACATTCCGGTTCAAGGTAAAAACGTATGACGTGGCATTTAATTTTTGTATTTTCTCCTTTTTCTTTTTGCTTTTCCTTTTCTTTCTTTGTTTTCCTTCTTTCTCTCTTTCTTCCCCCATTCCCTTTCCTTCTCCAGCCGACTCCCCCCGACTCCCCCTCTCCTGCGCCTCTTTCTTTCCCTTCTTTCCCTTTCTTTCATTCTTTATTTTACAATCACCAATATGTCCGCTCGTTGGATCCCAATGCTGATCTTCTTCCCTGGTCAACCTCCGGCAAAGCCAAAGAAATCGGTCCGAGCTCCGATCGTCTTCTCCGGCCAATTTCCGGCAAAGAGAGCGCCTGCCTCTTCACCAAACGCTGTCCTCCTCTCTTACCAATGTTCCGTCACATGATGTGCCGATCTTCCCCATCAATTTGTTATGTTATATATTGTTCTAATTTTTCTTGTGTATCCATGGATAGTGTATCCATGGATAGGAAGGGTATGTCAAAACCCAAACAATAAAGAAAAGTGAGAAACTGGGAGTAGCCTGGAGTTGTGATTAAGCGAAAGTGGAAGTGATTAAAAATGAAAGCAAAAGAACTCAGGGAACGGGAGGGAGTAGCAGGGCGAAGAAAGAGTCAACGACAGAAGAGGGGAAGGAAGGAGAAAAGAAAGAAAAGGGAAAAAATGCCACGTGTCGCCATTTATTTGATGACCGGTGATTACTTAGCAAAAAGCAAATTTGAACATTTTTTACAAGTTCACATGCTTAATTGGGTGTTATTTGAGTTCGGGTCCTTAATTGACATTTTCGTCGTAGTACGAGGGCTTATTTGACACTTTTCCCTTTAAAATTTTATTTGTGAAATAAATAGTAATACATCTAGTACAATCTAGTTTAATTACATCCTCATAAATGTTTGCGTATTTAAAATTTTAAATTATGCACTTATTATTGATTGTTGCACATGCACATTGGGCTAAGCATTTTGGAATATATCAGTTTGTGTATTTACTTTCATTGGGCTGGACCTGGGCATTTCTCTCTCTCTTATATATATATATATATATATATATATATATATATATATATATATAATCGGATATATATATATATATATATATATATATATATATATATATATATATATATAATCGGATATATATATATATATATATATATATAATCGGATATATATATATATATATATATATATATATAATCGGATATATATATATATATATATATATATATAATCGGATATATATATATATATATATATATATATATATATATATAATCGGATATATATATATATATATATATATATATATATATATACACATATATATATTAGTTTTAAAATATTTGAATATTTCAATATAGTGTTGACTAAGAATTCTTCAGCAATTTGGAATATTAAATATTCAAATATAAACACATTCATCACATTCTGAAATATAATTTCAGGCCTATTTGAATCAATAATATTATTTTTCATTTATTTTGTATATCTATAAATTATCTACATATGATTTTCTTTCTATAGTAAATATTCAAATATAGAACATAGTTTGTTCAAAAATAATTTGAAAAACCACACTACCTATAAAATGTTAAAAGTATTTTGTAATCATTTTAATCCATATTTGAATTTCAAATACATAATCGGATAGTACATTGAGAGAAAAAATATGTATTATTATATTTATTATTTATATATTACTCACCACAAGTGGGATTGAATGCATCTATCACTCAACAATTTTCGGAGGATCTTGAGGAAGTGGAGTGACAAGTGCCAAGGGGAGAGAAGTTGGTCATAGGAGGCAATCTCAATGGGCATGTGGGCCCAAGTTGTGATGACTTTGAGAGTATCCATGGCGGACATGGTTTTGGCACTAGAATTGAAGCGGAGAAGAACATTCTGGATTTTGCCTCAACATATGAGTTGGTCGTGATGAACAATACTTGGTTCAAGAAAAGATACTCTCACCTAGTGACTTATAGAAGTGGAGCTAATAGTATCCAAATGACATTTTAGTACGGACGACTTGGAGAACTAGCTACACTGATTGTAAGGTTATCCCATATGAGAGTGCTGTCACTCAACATATGATGCTTGTACTTGATTTTCAAGGTAAAAAGAGAAGGCGGATTAAGGTACAAGGGGAGCCAAAGATAAAGTGGTGGAGGCTCGAGGGGAATCTCCAACAAACTTTTGCACTGAAAATGTTGGAGGAAGATGTATGGTCCATTGATAATGACACACAAGTGGATGATGTGTGGTTATCAATGGAGTCCACCATTGACAAAGTTGTGAAAGATATACTTGGAAAATCTAAAGGATGTCTACCACCAAAAAAGGACACATCTTGGTGGAATGATGAGGTGAAACAAGCAATAAGGACCAAAAGGGGATGCTATAAGAAATTAGGAAAAAGTTGGAGCGACGAGAACATATAGGAGTACAAGGAGGCTAGAAGAAGAGCAAAGAAAGCCGTTAAGAAAGCAAGAGGAAAAGTGAACAAGGAATTGTATGCAAAATTGGACTCTAAGGAAGGAGAAA